CAAGGCACTTTCGGGAAAGTTGTTGAGGCCCGTGATCGCAAGCGAACTAAGCTCGTTGCAATCAAAATCATTCGAGCGGTACAAAAATATCGGGACGCTTCGAGAATCGAGTTGCGAGTGCTGCAGACGCTGAAAGCCAACGACCCAGAAAACCGCAACCGATGTATCCATCTACGGGACTGCTTCGATTTTCGCGGCCACATTTGTATAGTAATGGATCTGCTGGGCTCGAGCGTCTTTGATTTTCTGAAAGGCAATAATTTTGTTCCTTTCCCGAATAGTCAAATACAGAGCTTCGCTCGCCAATTATTGACGAGCGTTGCCTGTGAGTACAACTCGAACAAGCCATTCCCTGTCTCGCGCTGACACCTGCCATCCAGTTCTCCATGATCTAAACCTTATCCACACTGATCTCAAACCCGAGAATATCCTCCTTTGTGACAGCGCCTATCAGACCTTCACCTACAACAGGCGAATACCATCATCAACCAATGGAACAAATCGGCAAGCTACACAACGCAAGGTTCTACTGGACACCGAGATTCGCTTGATAGATTTTGGGTCCGCCACTTTTGACGACGAATATCACTCATCCGTTGTCTCTACGCGCCACTATCGTGCCCCTGAAATCATACTCGGTCTTGGCTGGTCCTTCCCGTGTGACATTTGGAGTATCGGATGTATTCTTGTCGAGTTCTTTACTGGAGATGCCCTATTCCAGACTCACGATAACCTCGAGCATCTAGCGATGATGGAGAACGTGTGTGACAACCGAATCGACCCACATCTCGTGCAGATGGTCAACAAATCAGCATCACGCACCAGCAGCAATTCCCCTGCCAAGTATGTTTTCAAACACCCGTGGAAGCGAGACAGGCCTTCTAATCTAAGAATCAGGTATTTCAAACGTTTAAAATTAGATTATCCTACTGCCGATACTACGAGGGCTTCTAGACGATTTGTCCGGAATATGAAACGGCTAAGTGTAAGTGAAAACATCGCGGTATATAACTCCATCTAACCCCATGTTTAGGATATCATTCCAGCCACAAGCCCTTTTCTTCGGCTCTTCCTAGATCTTTTACATAAGATCTTTGTCTATGATCCGGCAAAGCGAATCACTGCTCGTCAAGCTTTGGCACATCCATGGTTTCGAGAGGCTGCCATTCCTGATGATGGAACCGAGGCTTTAAAAATCCGACTGGAACGTGCGAGGGATAGCGAGTACCATACATCTCGAGTGCCAGTCGCAGTATAGGAGAACTGCAAAACCCTTCACCCTCAGCGTTGATATCGAAGGGGGAAAATGTACATTTCACCAGGACTCAAGTTTTATGATGCATATGTTGGCGGGTTATAATGCCTATATCTATATCAGCGTGCATGAAGGGTGGTACCCGAACGGCGTTTTGACTAGCATCAAGCGGCGTGTTCAAGGTAACGCCAGCACTTCACATAGACAAATTTGTCCAAGGACATTCATGATCAAGGGGCATTAACGTATTACGCCTTCTGAATATATACTTCGCAACGAGCAATATTATCGTTGCCAGCATATTTCACTGTACATAATGGATGGACGTTTGGGGCTTCATTGTCTGATAACTGAGAACTCAGCCGAGCCCAGTAACCAGTCATTTGACAATCGAAAGGTACATACACTAGTTTCTTCCAGTGAGTACACTTTTCTTCGAACCATGCTGACACTGCTTCCACAGAATAGGTCCCATGACAGTTTCTGTCTGTCTACTCTTCTGTTCTCGGGCAGGCTCCGCGTGCGCCTCGACTCCGAGCGTTGAAAACAATGTACATGTTTATAAAACAAACCAAGTACATTCAGAACAAAGAAAACACTCGCTCTTCAGAACTGCCGGAATAAGGCCACAAGGCGCTCAATGTCTTTGAAACAAGAGTCCTTGTTCTCTGAAGCGAGGCCTTCTGAAATTTATAATACGAGTCCATTCCACCTGCTACGGGCTTTTCTCGCCAGATTATGCGGCTCTCACTGCTTTATTCAATCAAAACTACCTACATACAATTGATTTACCAGCCTACATTGATTCCATTGCCGCCCGTGAAGTCACTTCGTTAAATCAGACTGACTTGTGGCGAAGCGTTCATCGCCTCGTGTGTATCTACTCATGAGTATTGCGCTCCAGGACTTATCGGACGAACTCGTCACCCGCATCGCCAAGGTGCTTGCTCGACGTCCCGAATATGGCATTGCTACCCCATCCCGAAGATGGCTCCAAAGGCAAGAAGAGAAGATGAAAAATCTGCCAAAGGAATTGCTAAGACCATCAAGCCTAAAGCGTCTTGCAATTAAGATTGTCGATCGCATCGATCCGAACATTGTCGACCCGCAGGCGGTGCTCTGCAAAACGCATTCTGCCCTCAACCCCTTCTTAATTCGAAGACTTTTCATTGCCCTCGCGTATGAAGTCACAGTTCACACAGATCCCTTGCGTTCGTGGCGGGCCAGATCCTTGGATCCCGAGCTTTCTGCCCTTGTCGGACGACTTGACTCGATCGTGGCATTGTGGACCGTACCTCAGCTCTTCCACGAGATATACGGGCTCGCCCCTTTCGACGGCCACCACGTATTCGTTAAATCTGGGTGTGAAGCATGTTGTCTCGCGGCTGTAGGTGCTAGCGGTCGAGCCCTGGCAGACCTTCGAGCGGTGCTCGTTGATCGTATGGAACGACGTCAAGGTGATTCCAATCCTTCAGGGAAGGAGCCTCGACTATACCGTGTCGTAGAAGCTTGGATCGACCAGCTTCGAAAGCACAGCGGGGACGTGGACCGACCTGAACAGTGCAGGGCTTTGAGTGAAGCTCTACTAGTCGATCTGAGGATGGCGAGACCTCAGATCCAAGCGTGGCGAGCCGAACAAAGGCAGCACCACGCCAAGTTACGCGCTGCGAAACATCCCATATATGCCGAGCTCAGGAGGACCCGTACAGGCGCCGAGATTGCCCCTCTGTCTCCCAATGCCGGCCATAAGAGACGAACGAGAAACGGAATTCCGGTTGCCTTGGTCGACATCGATGGAGCTGAAGGCCAGAGACGGGCCGCTATGTCCACGCACAGAAGTGAGAGTATCTATCGTCCTGATAGTCTTTCTGGCTACTCCACCGTGAACGAGCGACAGCGAGCGTCTTACAACCCTATTCCCAGCACTGGTCCCCGGCCTCTTGCCCCTGAACCGGTCCGAATGAGTGGACCGAGCGATGGTTCGCCGACCCAATCCTTTCTTGATCGATTCGAGCAAGAGATGTCCACCCACCATGGCCATGATCCCTCCGTCGACTCCGAAGAAGAAAACGAGCTAGATGAAAATCATTACGTGGAGGAAAGCCGAGCTAGAGTACAGGAATGGTGGGCCAACCAAGTATCCCACTCTCAATTAGGTGTCAGCCAGGAGGACGATGCAAAATCCATACTGTCAATGGTACACCCTGCCTTCCGCCCTGGTAGTAGCCACATCGCTGTATCTGCTCTGCCTCCTTCGCTTCATATCAGGAAGGATCGTGAACCACGAGCCAACCAACCCCAAGGGCGTCGCGATACGGCACCAAGTGTATGGACGGATTGTACTGCGTACACAGCGGATCCGAGTTCCATCCAGCCCAATACCACAAATGTACCACCAGTGCCAAGGATACCCTCGGAGTACAGATGTAATGAACGCTCCTCGCCCCGCGGTGATCGGACTCCTCAGGTTGCCTCACACGCACCACCAAATAGAACCGAAGAAAGCTCGATAGCCCAGAGTAGGCAACCATCGACGACGGGTTTTCCGAAGTACGAAGATCCATTCATGAACCGAGAAACCCCCCGGGAGTCCATCACAAGGCCGTCATCGAAGACGAAGAGCAAGAACCCACGCCCGAACTGGCCCGCTCCGCCACACGGACGACATCCGCCAAGTGCCCTTGATAACCCCCGTCATCAAAAGTTATTTCTCCCTGAATCTGACGTGGGCTCCACGTTCTCGGAGCAGCGGCACGCATTCCTTACGGAACGCTTCAAGCCGAGGGAGGAGGACTCGCAGGAGAGAAATTCACTCCTTACTCACCTTGGGACACTGACCTCGACACCAACGCCGGACCTCCCAACTCCGAGGCCCGTCTCAAGGACATCTAGCTCTGTATATAGCAGAGGTAGCGGGACATCTGGTTCTAGCGCGGCTCCGTCTCACGATTCCTCACACGGGAGTATTGCCAGTTCCGAACTAGAAGGGGAATGGCGAGCGAGTCGGCGCCCGTCGTCCGAGATTGACCTTGTGCGACCGGACGACTCTGCAAGTAATTCCCGTTGGGCCCGGCATCATGACCCCCCGCCGTCTGTGAACGCCTCGTCTGTCACGCAATTAAACGCCTTTCAGGGGAAGATGTGATGATGTGATGGAGAAAGTAGAGTAAGTTAGTAACATGTATAGTATCAGTTTTTTTGTTTTTTTACTCCATGCTTCGTAGGATATGTAAGTCTCTGTGAGTATTTGCCTTTTGCTCCATGTTTAAGCAATCGTACCAACAAACTAGGTCGCATGCAAAATATAGTTTGCAACATTATTGGTTATTGTAAAGAGTTGGGCTGCTAATAAAGCCCGTGTCAGGAAGTCTTCGCGTTAGGACTTCTCAAGGGACTCCCGCTTGATCGCATGAACTCATGGGGATAGATATACACCGAGCCAATGGCCTTGGTGATGACAAAAACAAAAGGAAAACCACTATCTAGTAAGAGAGGATTTCATCTTTTCCCGCAGTAGTAGTTTGAAGAAAGCGCAAAGGCAAGAAGGACATTAGCTAGATTTACTATCGAAAATCTGTTCAAACTTCGGCCACGATTGAGTTTATGGTTTTGGACGGATTGTTGTACGCCTAGGATATTGACGTTTAACAGGGTCTTTATCTGCAACTTGCCTTGCACCTTCCCAACAGTAGTAGGCTTAGGGCACATTTTGTCAACTTGTTAACATCGGTGATCCACCGTAACTGGGCATGTGGTCTAGTGGTATGATATTCGCTTTGCATCTGGTTCCTTCGGACGGATATCTGCGAAGGGTCCGGGGTTCAATTCCCTGCATGTCCATACGTTTTGCTTTTTTTTATTTACAGTTAGTTTTCATTTTTATTTGCTCACATGTTAGTGTTAATTAAGTGTGTGTGCTCTGCCTGCCCCTTGTATTCATTCCCCTCTTACAACATTTTATTTAGCAGAATAGTTATGTGGATATGTTCGAGAGACAAACCACCTTCCTGTACAATGTGTAGTCTTATCAAGCTTAGTTAGGTCCACTGCAGATAGGTACCCGCCTTTTACCTCGACGCTTAGCAACATCTAGCCACTGAGGTAAATATGTAGGTAGTAGGCAGCAATAGTACCTGTGTAATCTACCCCAACAAGACCGTCTCCAAATATTGTCCACAACACTTCTTTCTCTAGCAAACAAGGGTAAAGTTTGCGATTAGTGTATTGGACCTTGCCTTTGTTATTATGTTAGTCTTAAAGGCTAACTAACCTCTAATCAGGAAGTCTTGCCTGTGCTCACTGCTGGCAAGGTATGCAGCCCAATGATTCTGTTCGTCTGCTGATTGTCCCTGACAAACGAACTCCCGCTCTTGACTCCTCTTCAGGTTCGGGCCCGTTGAAAAGCTCAAGACCCCAAACAGTTGTGCCCAAAAGAGACTGATGCACACTTGTTGCTTCGGCAACATGTTTGCTGTTGGTGCTGGAAAGGCGCAAGATACCTATCACTGTAATCGGCCATAATATAATAATTATACACTAATTCTCCTGTTAGATAAACTAGAGTCTTTCCAACTCAGCCCATATTCTGTAACTGGTTTGCTTCTTTCTGACCTAACCTAACAAGGCCCGACCTGTTGTTGTGCCAGTGTTCATGTCTCTTGTTACGCGTCTGTAAATTTATCTCAACTCCTAGTATTGTGCTAGTTATTTGTTGCTCTGCAATCTCACCATACTGTGGACCCTATAGGCACAGCTTTACACTCACATCTTTGTTACAACCTGTAGTCTCCATTCAATGAGGTTGTCTCTATACTCTGTACTCTTCCGGGCTTGATTGTTTACTTACCTATCTATCCCTTGTATCCTACAGAAATCCCCTACCCTACATGATTAGAACCAAACGTAACGCCCGGTAGATAAAACCTATGAATATCACTAACCTCCACTGTTATCCCGGACTTATTCTAGCTATTTTTACTTGCCCGTAAAAATGATTTATTTTTATGTCTATTACTATTCTATTTTTATGGTCTGTAGTGTGTATTGCAGTAACAACCAACATTACCTCCAACTAGCAACCTGTATCTGTTGGTGTCAATGCAACAAAATCTCTCGACCACTTCCAATACCTTAGATGCCAAAGGTGAAACATTTGAGGGAGACATCAGCACTGCAGCTATACTTCACCATCATAGATAGCTATAGATACCCCCAGCGCCAGCTATTATTAGGGCTGGGTCCAATCCTAGAGAATGATGAACCCGGCGTCCTGATGAGGTTCCCGGCCTTGATTAGAATGCAGCCGCTGCATTCGAATACTTTGGACTACTTGGCATTATTAAGTCTTAGCAATAGAAAAAAAAAGGAAAAGGAAGAAAAGGTTGGACTGCCGCCCATCGCGTGTGGTGGAATACACCCTAATATTTTTATTAACCGAAGTAGTCAATATACCATCGTGTAAAATGATTAAGTTAAGCAATTATTGCCAAGAGATGTATATATCATGTGACGTAGTATGTTGTAATACCTCTCCCAGCCAACTTCTATAACTTGCCCTCGGCGACAAGATTATTCCACACAGAAAACATCAAATCGTCAACATCCAAGGCGATCTAAGGCAAATCAACTTTTATAGATCTAGTTCCATCTACAATGCACTACATTGTAGAAGTTTGTAGGACTTAATACTTTACGGCAGAAAGAGACTCCTGAGAATTGCCATAGGACCTGTTATAGAGGAATATATTTTTGCCGTAATTTCTGCACGCATCTCCTGTATACTTAATTAGTTCTCCATGGGGCACAGAGCTCCGATTCCCATTCGGGTATTATGCAACGACATAGGATAGTTGCACGGGCGGTCCTAAGTAACAAGGACGATATGATATGGGTTGTGGCCGTGGAAATCCGCAACTTCGAGATTATATAAGCCCAAAGCACAAGTTAGACTTACCTACGTCATAAGTCGGGGCAACCCCCAAGTAGACGAGATCGTTGGAGAAAGGATGACATGATTGAGGGGAGTCCTGTAACAGCGAGGAGTATAGTGAGCCTCCATTGGCTGGAAGGTCTAATATTACCAAACAAGCAACTACTTCAATTCAACAACAATTTTTTCTTCTGGTAAGCATTCTATCAACTTACAGGGTATACAAAAATGAACATGGGACCAATAGGAACGTGTTAATTTCGGCGTACTACAGGGTGTGTTTCTCATTCGCTGGCGGCCAGATTGCATCTACTGAGTTGGTGTTTTATGACAACAAAACATGTTCAAAGTAGAACATCTTATTGGTCAAGGACGGGATACTAGCCTATAATGCTCGATATATCTCCGGTCCGGTGAGGTAGAGGGCGAGACGAAGCGAGTATCGTGTGTGGGGGGAGGGGGCGAGGAGAATGCGGTTAATTCGTCGATTTCTATGGAGACTAAGGAACTGAAGCCCCAGTCCCTAGATACAGGCCAGCTGCTGCACTAGGTACTACGTTGCCATTATATAACCTTCCGAATCTGGAAGTTCTACTCCGTAGCATCATGCGCTGGAATCCTAGTGCCCCATGGCCGCGTAGACTTCGGTCTTGGTTTGGCAGGTGGACTGCCATTCTGTTCAATGTGGGCGATAACGGGCTCACTTGGTTTCGCACAGCATGGCGCTGTATAAGTACAAGATTCTTTGCGTTTCTTCATCCGTGCTTGTTTTTCTTGGCACCAATTCCCTTTTCGCATTCTCCTCGTGACCAGGGGAACGTCTGACCACAACTATGGCCTTCCGAGTCATCTCAATAGCCCTTGTGGCTGTGCCAGTCGCCAATGCCCTCTCATTGACCACGCGCGCTACATGTTCAAGCACAGTTGAGAGCTGCTCCTCGGCTGCGAGCTCTTCCTCTGTCAGCTCATGCTGTGTTAATAAACCTGGTGGCCAATTCCTTCAGACACAGTTCTGGGATACGGACCCGGTTACCGGACCAAGCAACTCTTGGACAATCCACGGGCTATGGCCTGATAATTGCGATGGAACTTACGACGAGAACTGTGACTCTTCCCGCGACTATACCGATATAACGACCATTCTCCAAAACAATGGCAAGTCATCGCTTGTGTCTTATATGGAAGACTACTGGCAGAGTAATAGCGAGAGCCCAGAGGATTTCTGGGAGCACGAGTGGTCAACCCACGGGACCTGCGTTAGTACACTCGATCCGGACTGCTATTCGAGCTATACCACAGGACAAGAAGCTGCAGACTATTTTCAAGTCGTTGTCGATTTGTTTAAAACGCTGGACACCTATAGCGCTTTAAGTGCTGCTGGTATTACCCCTTCAAGCACAACAACCTATACATCTTCCCAAATTCAAGCCGCGCTCTTGAAGGTCACTGGAAAGGCTGCAGTTATCTCTTGCAGCAGCAGCGAATTATACCAGGTATACTATGGATTTTTTGTCGATGGACCTTTGGCAAACGCTGATTTCGTGCCATCAACAATTGGTAAGTTGCGAGAAATCTGGCGAGCGAAAAGGTTCCACCTTGATTGTTCCCAGTCCCGTTTCACTTCTGTATCGGCCTGGATTTTAAAACCTTGGTCCACCACGCAACTTGCTAACCTCGTTTAATGACTGGTAGTTGGCCAAAGCTCGAACTGTCCCAGCAGTGGCATCAAGTACCTGCCCAAGAGCGGTAGCGGCACAACCCCAACTAGTACTACTAAGACTGCTACTCAGACTGGTATGTAGTATCCGAATCCATCCCTTTTGCAGAATCCAGGATGTTCGAAACTGACATGTTGCAGTATGTTGATATACCAATCGCCTCCTTAGAATCAAAGAGATATCCTAGTGGATATGACCGGGCCGACAGAACCGGGTGAGAGAAACAGCATGCTAACGCACTTCATCATAGACCACTTCGGCTACAAGCACAGCAACGGGCACATTTTCCGGGACAGGGTATGTCTTTACCCAACTCGCAACAAGATACAGGGGATATCGCACTCAGACACCTGCGTTGGGTATTTGTCTAATAATAATGTTTCAATAGTTACCTGAATGCGTACTACAGCGGAAGTCAAGATGGATGCCTTATCTCTGCAGGCACGTGGTATACTACGGGGACGTGTGCAACATACACCGCCACTGCTTCGGGTAAGCATTCGATCTCCCTTTCTTTACGAGATATAATCAGGAGGCTAACGCTGCTTTTCATTAGGCTCGGGCTTCACTCTTAAGTCTTCCAAAGGCAACTGCGGCGTCGTCAGCGGCTCATTTACCTGCGCCTCAGGAGTTAGTGCAACCGTGTTTAATGTGAGTACTCTCTACCCCCATGCTTCCATTACATTTCAAGTATCATATATCCTCTCTGACTGGTGGAATCTCAGGCTGTTTCCGGAAAGCTTGCCTATAATGGGGTGTCTACGTTCTATTCAACCGTGGTGCCGACAGGCTCGACACAGGCTACTGTATATACATCTTCTAAAACGTATTCAGTGACCTTTCAGTGGCAAGCAGTGTAAGGGGCGGGCGGCCGAACAGACAAGGAGTCATGCCATGCATAGGGTTAGCTTGACAGAAAGGGATGGAAACTGTGGGATGCCTCGCCGTAACCCTGTTTCCATCTCATAACAATGTAAATAGGCCAACGCAAGAGGCAAGTCTCTCGTCTCATCGCGGAAAGTATATAGTTGGGAAAATAAAACAGCCATGTAGACACCCAGGCAATTATCTAAGACCACAGAACCGAGCGCAGCATAAGCCATGGCACGAGTGGCAGGACTCCCGCAGTTTGATCGGACATGATGCCATTGGGGAATTGATCCGATGTAGGTTCCATGTGCAATTGTGCGCGC